GCGAGCGGCTGTGTGGGGCTTAGTTGCTGGCTGGGGTTAAACCACGACAGGTAGGAAGGAACGTCCGATACGTGGGGAATGCAAAGTCCCAAATTAAAGAAGGTGAGAGTAGTTTCCCTGTGCAGATAAGAACTAATAATCCTCAGGTTTGTAAAATAAGTGACCCCTGTTAGAGGAACCGTAGAAAAAATTGACTTTTCTCTGAGCGATACCAAGAATCCCTATGTGCCAGCTAGTGATTCAGTTTCCTTTAAGCATTCCTGTAACATCAACAGAAAATCAATTAATGCTTGTGTTCATATTCCCAAACTCTCCCTTTTCATAAGGAATAAGAGACAGAGGAGGAGTAAAATGTCCACCTGTTCAATTTTCACATTCACGTTGTACTTCAAAGGCTATTTTTTTCACAGAGCGAACTCCCTTTTCTGCAGGGCAAACAGCAATTTTTTAAGAAGCAGGGGAGAACGCTGCACACACGTTTCCTCTTCAGCAGTTCCGGTGCAGGAACAACTGTCCTTTTTTTGCCATAGCACCTCTGCTTTATGACCCAGTTTATGAGGTGATTAACATTTGTCCCCAGAAGTATTTCAGGACACCGCTATGTCCCACACATCTACACTGCCTGATAAATGCAAGCACAGGCACGCCGATCTCTGCCCAACAGAGAGCTATGCCAGATATTTGCAAGATTGTCTCCTTGAACTGTTCTCCACAGACAAAAGGCAAACACACATATTTTAAAGCCTTATTTTAAGAAGCACCAATTACTGAGGTATCCAGTCAACTGTAAAAGCAGGAGCCCAATGTTCTAGAAACTGTTCTTATTTCAGAAAACTAAACTATGCCATATCCAAGAGAAGAGAAACAACCTATTTACATTTTCTAACGCGGTCCAAGAGTGAACCGAGTTGAGTTCCTGATCTGTTGGCTACCCACGGCAAGAGTTCATTCTGGGTCTACCTGCAAGAGCAGTTTTGGGGTAACTGAGCTAAGAACAGGTTGGGCAATAGCTAGGTCAGTCCATGGGTTAAATCTCATCACTTTCACTGTGAATCAGAGAAGTTGCAAAAGCTGCAGATAATGCGCTTCATGGAATAGTAGAAAAATAGTAGAACTCCCCTCCCCAGTTGGTCCTATCATTTTGCCACCTTCAGAGCTGCATTTTGAGAGAAGGTGACCGTGTTCCTCAAAGTCACATTGATCTCCTTTTCCCCTTTCTTCACAGGCTAAAGAGAACAAGTAGTTATTATCTCCTTCATAATAATCTTCTACCTACTGAAAAGCTTGCTTTTCTTCACCTTCCTCTTCTCTAAACCAAATCAAACAGCAATTTTCTTAGCCATTCCTTGTGTTTTATTTCTAATATTCTCCTCCGGACTTTCTCCAGTCAATTCCTATCTTTCTTAAATTCCTCAAACCGGACTCCAGACTTCCACTGAGGTAACACCAACGCCAGGCACAGCAAGATAATTGCTTCCATCTTAAATACAATGCTTATATTAGTGTAACCCGGAATAGGGTCTGAACCTTTCTGAAGCAGCATTAGATTGATATTTTTTATTTAATTTGCAATTCCCCAGATCGTTTCCTGTCAAATCTCACCACCGTCCCCTACTTTGGGTTTATACGTTTCTCTTTCCTAAACAACAGGCACTCGACTTTGTTCTTTTCAGATGATCTTGTCAATTTATCTGCATGATTTTGAATTTGATCCTGTTCTCCTCAGCATCCACCTTGGCTTCCTCCATTCCACTTTCTCTTCTACCATGCAAGCTATTATGGAAAATACTGAACAAAACTGGGCCAGG